AACATTCTCGGTGAAACAAGAAGAACGGAACGACAAACGCCAAATAATTATTCGAATCCGAATCTCATTGGAAACAGATCGCCAGTCAACGAAAGATTCACAAGCGGAAATGACCCAGCCATGAAGAGATGCGAACTTTGTGGGGATCGACATTTCGCAGATGAATGCATCACGTATCATGAGGTGACAAACAGGAAGCATCGAATAAATGAGTTAGGCTTATGTTCGCGTTGTCTTAGAAGCGGACATACAGGCAGAGCTTGCTCTTATCGAAAGCCGTGTTATTTCTGCAAGGGTGATCATCACTCCGCACTTTGTTTACCACGTAACAATCTATATTATGGTGAATGGAAGGCAAATCACAACCCAGTTTATCAAAATGATAGAAAAAGGAATCCAGCAGTTCCTCCCAATTCAATAAATCACTATGATCAGTTCAAACGTCGTCCAGGAGAAGTGTACGAAGCCCGACAAAATGAAATCAAAACAGAGAACTTATCGCTGCAACCACAAAGCTACTACGCAACGCAACAAACATACCCACCAGAGCATTTGACCAACGTGCAGCAACCCAACAGCTCAAATTCAGCAACTGAAGAATTTTTTCCTCGCCGCTCGGTGCCTCAAGCAAGCCAAGTAAATCATGTAAAAGTAGAGGAAAATGAAGACAACAATGACACCCACATTATCAACTATTCAACAATCGACAATCAAATCAGTGACCATACACAAAAAGAAGTATATTTGATGACTTCTAAAGTAAAGGTGCGTAATCCTGAAGAGAATGACAGAACGGGTGAAGACACGATAATCTTGTTCGACTCAGGGTCTCAAAGAACGTTCATAACCGACGCAATGACCCGTCAACTTCATCTAACTCCGAAATTAGAACAAGTATTATCACTGTGCACGTTTGGAAGGAAAGGCATCACCCGCGTAGCCTCTAAATTAGTCGAAATTGAAATTGAACTAATCAATGGAACCCGGAAAGTAATCGAAGCTAATTCAATTCCATTACTCACAAGAGAATTAAAAGCACGAATCTCCAAAAACGATCTAGAAATGACAAAGAAATCTCCTTATTATGAAAGCATAATAAAGCCAGACATATTAATTGGTTCTGATTACATGTGGGACTTCATAAAGATAGGTACAAAAACAGCTGATGGATTATACAAAATGGGAATCATCTGTCTTCATAAAATTCTAACTTCGATTATTGATATATTTGGCGATTACAGAAGCTTTGAGCTGATCTTCCATATTGTCTGATGATTTTTAGGGAGAGGGATTCGAAATGAGCCCGAAACTGCAAGTTAGAATTTCATGAAGACAGATGATTTCCAACGCAATTATCATAAACGGTGTGGAACGAAGAATACCCACAAAACAAGAATATGGTATTACCGATATTGGTGACAGCGGAAAGGCATAAATTCGTAATGAGTTTGATTTGCTGATTAACTAAATACATTCCGCCTGATCGATTGAAAGTGCACAATCGATTTGATTGAAAATCGTAATTGATTTCGTTGAAATGATGATTGAATTTGTTTTGCATTCAGCCTACAAGAATCGTACCGTACCACATTTCTGATGACCAATAAGCATGCATAAGGGAGGGATTAGTCGTGACACGGGGATAACTGGATATTGAAGAAGCTTGATTTTTTTGTGAAATATGCATAAATTAGCCGAGTACATGAATGAATGAATCATTTCTCGATAATTTACTAATGGACAACTATATACTGGAACCAAGTCGAGCACCTCACTCTCAAAACATAAAGATCTAAATCCCAAGAATTTGATCTATAACCCAAACAAATTGCTTAATATCTTGAATTCAAATCTTACAGGCGAAAGATTCCCAGGAGCGATAGCTGAACAACAACAAAATGTTATGGGAAACTATGGTCGATAAATTCAGGGACAGAAGGGAGACGCAAGTACTTAAGGATGAAGGAACGGAAGATCCTGGTCGTAAGTCGCAGTTAGTTAGTCGCTGATCGTGATTCATATTCATATTGGAGAACGTATGCTCTACATTGTCAAGTGAAGTTATAGTTGAAAGAAGAAATCAATTATTGTCGTGATATTGTGATATTCATTGTTATTATTAAGTATTGGGAATCATCATTGCCGTTAATCATAGTGGATTGAATATCGTATGAAGATATTATATGCCAAGTTGGCTAGTTACTGTTATTATCAAGTTATTGTTGAGAACTGAATAATAAATACTACATCAAGTTTCCACAGTGCATTCCACCGCACGCTGACCTCATTTTTTACTATACTCTCACTGTAGTACCACTGATCTGCGACAGATCAAATATTTGAACGTGAGAAATGCATTGCAGTTGTACAATTGGAGTTATATCTCACACATCCGCCTTTTCAACAATTCCATTCTCTGGCTCCATCCTCATAATGTACTTTATGCCAAAATAGAATGAAACAGATGCGCATCCTTCAGATTTCGAAACTGTTTTGTCTTACATTATCCACCTATCCTTGGCAATGATAATGTGGTAAAATAACCAGCTGATTTAGCTCTACTGCATCCTGAATGAGAATTTCCCCACTTCTTTTCGCAGGACATCTTTCATAGGACATTGAGCTGTTGATTGATACCGTACAGATACGTAGTGAACAACACATTTCATTTGACTGACATTTTATTTAACTTAATTAAGCAGAGGATTAAGATATCAAAGACGCATGTCAAACACAGAATATTATATCACTGACGAATTTGTCACTGTTGATTGCATGCCGTTGGTTACAGTTCAGTTCTGAAATTTTTTAAATACTTAGAACTGTCTTGCCATATTGTAAAATATCCAAATCATATGTTTGTAAATCAGCGT